AAGCCCTTACCACGATATAAATATTTCAATTTTGGTAGAAGTGTTTGTTCACAGTTAATAGCCCTTACCACCATATAAATAGTTTACCACCATGGTAAACTATATTCTAGTTAAGTCTCTACATTTGAAATGCTTTTAATAGAATTGTTACTCATGTTCTTTTCTTTTGTTTCTTGAACACAGGGCAAGAAGAAGAAATTCACCAATGCTGTTGGTATGGCCCATGAAGATGAGTAAGTGATTCCCTTGCAATCTGTTAAATTGTAAGGCAAAACATTTCTGTTACTTTATAAACATCAACTTAGACTCATTTACAGCTCACAGCTCTTGTTCTTATTATTTTGGGATTACCCAGCTTGATGCCGGGGCCTTTTGCATTGGGACAGACCAAATGTTATTTGCTTTACAGCCTTTTCTCTATCTATAATGTAAAGCGGGCCAAGTTAAATTCAGATTTCAGACACAAAAAGTGAGTGTTGTCTTGGGGCATAAAAATAGATTTTTTCTTACTTCCTGGGTATGTTCATGAGGAAGGGGTTGGAGCTGGGTGACAGCTGAAAATGGTGCTTCATATTTTCTCTGTACATATATATATATATATATATATATATATATATATATATATATATATATATATATATATATATATATATATATATATATATATATATATATATATATATATGTTATTCATTGGATATTGGATTGCTGCTGGAGTTGAAAAGGGAAGAACAGTCTCTGACCTGTGGTTGCAAACTTGCATTCCTTCCCTTGCTGTTTAACAACAAAATATAGAATAGCTCTTGCAACTTGTCAAAAGAAATCATAAACTGCTGCTGATTAGTAGAAGCCATTGTTGTGCATTATCTGTGGGTTTCCTGTTTTCATACAATTTTGAAGAGTTGATGATGTTGTTACTTTAAAGCTAATAGTGTAACTTATTATGTAACATTCTATGTAATAACCCTCAGAACAACCGCATTCTATCTCAACTCCATACATAAGTCACTTGATTACTTTCTTTTCCATGAATTGTATTGCACTAGTGTGACTTATACTATGCTAACTTGCTGAAATTTGATTTCTGCTAGATGATGTGGAAGTTTATGTTGTTTCATTATATTGTATTGTATTGTTTTTTATACTTATTTATTTTGTTCTCACTTAGAACTATCTGCATCAAGTAATCATGCTGGGAGTAAGCTCCCTGATGTGTTCCAGTTGAAGATTGGCTGTGAAGTCATCCTAGCTTACAGGATTTCAGAACTGATGAAACAAAAAAGTTTGGAGGTATATTATTATCAGTACATACATTAAAAGCTCTTTATTTTCTGTTTTTATAATTTATCAAATCAATTTTTGGCTTCAATGATATTTGATTGCTATTTTCTCTATCGCTTAAATCTCCAGGGTAATTAAAAGCTTGAGTTTAACTTCAATATATTTTTTTCAAATTCTTAGATTTAATTATTTTCATTATACTAACTTTCTAACTTGAGTTTAAGTGGGATGTCTTCACAGCCAATCTTCAACGGAACACATCAGGGAGCTTACTCCCAGCATGATTACTTGATGCAAATAGTTCTAAGTGAGAACAAAATAAATAAGTATAAAAAACAATACAATACAAGGAGAGTACTATCAATCCAGCAACATCTAAGTACATGGATTTCTTGTTGGCTACAGCATCAGGGAAGGTTGAAGGGGTGAAAGCTCCAGGTAAACTTGCCACTCCCTTTGAGAAAACGAAGTTGGCAGCTTATACCCTTGGTGCTATGACACCTTGCATGAGACTTTATGCCTACATTGGTAAGGAGTTGCGGGGGCTTCTTGATGGTAAACGTAATCATCCATACAAGAAGTGGATTGAGAATTACTTCTCCGAAGGTTTCCAGGTTTCTTTATTTTCATGTAATCTCTTAACACGATTGACTTTTGATTATCAAAAATTTCTAATTTCAATAGTTAAAACACTTAATAAGATTTATATCAGCATAACACACTACATATAGATGGTACACATCTTATTTAATTGTCTCACTTTAGATGGTGAAAGCCTAAGTGCCTAACAACATACCATTGCATGTGATGAACACTTGTAGACCTGTCCAAATCCAAGCCATATATGTACCCAGCTAAACACACAGTATAGCTAGAGCAAATCAGACTTTTAGAGATTCCTATTCTTATTTATTTATTTATTTATAATAATAACTAGTTTTATTACATCTGCAGTGTTTTTGGACAGAAAATGCTAAGAAAGAGGGCTTGAATCGGGTAGTTTATCTAAGCAAAAATGGGTGTTTGGTTAAAAAAAAACAACCAGAAGGTTGGTTGTCATGGCAGAAGAAACAGATCGATCTTCTACATTCTATTCACAATTAAAACAGCTGCCCCACCTCCATTCCCTGTCCCTCTTGCCGAAAAAGAATGAAAATACAGATGAACCCTTGTAAACATATCCAATAGTTAAATATGAGGAGATAAAGACCGTAAACATAAACTGAAGCAACAAATTTAAAACACAAAATTCTCTTAGGACATATATTAGAGCTCTTATCTTTAACTGCTATTTGATGCATTACGAGATTTTTAGCAAACAAAGTTGACAGATAGTTATTGTGTGTATTTTTAGATGGATGATGATATGTATGGTGTCTATTTCATATCATGGTTGCTTTAGTTTATTCAGATTTGGAATTCTTGCATTTTGGTTTGGTTATTTAAAATATTGCTGTTGCTTTTGATTGTCACTGTTATTTTTATTTTGGGTTGGTTATGGACCAAACCTACCAAATGCAATTGGTAGTGTCTTCTTTTTGCCTAGTTCCCTTTGCTATTCTTTCACTAACACTGCTGCCAATACTCACTATCTATCTATCTAGCTATCTCTTATAATGTTATATTGACTACGTACTAATTTATTTACTCACTTTTTACATGTAGTTTCAACAAGTTGATTATGACAAAGCGGTTATTGATCTGGTGCGTTCTGAATGAGCCGATATTCTATCATGTTATATAGAGTAGGTATGATTTGACGTTGTAATCATTTAGACTTGGTTCGTAGAATTGTTTTTTATAGTATTATGACTTGGATGATGATTCGATTAGAATTAGTAATGAAAGTATTTTGACTTGTTATTTTGAACCTTGCTTAGCTTCTTCAAAATTATGTAACTATACTTGGCCATGGTGAATGGATAAATTGATTTTTTTTATATGATTAAAATTTAAGCAGGTTAAAAATGGGTTGAGACAACCGTTGTCTATTTTACAATAGACAACAGTTTGAAACTGTTATCTTTTCTACAAAAGACAACAGTTTATAGGCGTGACTTTTAACAACAGCGATTTCAACAACACACAATAGACAACAGTTTATAACTGTTGTCTTTTAAAGAAAAGACAACAGTTAAAAACCGTTGTCTATGTGCATCACTTTTAACAACACCGGTTTCAACAACATTGAATAGACAACGGGTCAAAAACTGTTGTCTTTTCTAGAAAAGACAACGGTTAAAAACCGTTGTCTATGTTCGTGACTTTTAACAACACTGGTTTCAACAACACTTAATAGACAACGGTTAAAATACCGTTGTCGTTTATAGAAAATACAACGGTTAAAAACTGTTGTCTATGTGCGTGACTTTTAACAACACCGGTTTCAACAACACTTAATAGACAACGGTTAAAAAACCGTTGTCGTTTCCAGAAAAGACAACGGTTATTAACCGTTGTCTATGTGCGTGACTTTTAACAACGCCGGTTTCAACAACACTTAATAGACAACAGTTAAAAAACCGTTGTCGTTTCTAGAAAAGACAACGGTTATTAACCGTTGTCTATGTGCGTGACTTACAACAACACCAGCTTCAACAACACTTAATAGACAACGGTTAAAAAACCGTTGTTGTTTCTAGAAAAGACAACAGTTATTAACCGTTGTCTATGTGCGTGACTTACAACAACACCGGCTTCAACAACACTTAATAGACAACGGTTAAAAAACCGTTGTTGTTTCTAGAAAAGACAACGGTTAAAAAACCGTTGTCTATGCGCGAGACTTACAACAACACCGGCTTCAACAACAGAAATTATACCCCTACGACAACGGTTATTAACCGTTGTCTATGTGCATTTTTCTTGTAGTGCTTGGAGATCAAGCATCTGTGGAAAGAAAGAAGTACATCAAGGAGAATGCTATAATGACTAATAATTTGTACAGATGAGATGGTCGAAAGCTTGATGAATAAACTCTAAGGTTTCAGGTTTGAAATTTATTCTTTACAAGTTAAAATATATTATTTTTGAAATAAGATCTTCTGAAAAGGCTACAAGAATGATTGTCTTTTTCCAACACACAAATTCTCAATACCAGCTACAAATTCTCAAAACCAGCTATAAAATGATGAAGATTGAAGCAGATCAAAGTACTTCCAACAACAAGAACAACACCAGTACATACGAATCCAATATGCTAGAGAAAGCTTATAGAGAAAAATATTCAAGTGAGATAAACACTCAGAGATTCGAAGCTCACAAAGAAAATATTCAAGAGTGTTTAAAATCTTCATCATTGAGAGACTTGCTGCATATTGAAGATCCATCTACGAAGTCTGAAAGTTGGAAGCAAGAGAAACTTGTTTTTCTACAAGACACACTAGATCACAGAAATTCATTATATCTTGGAACCAAGAAGTGGTGGATATAGTGAATTGCTCCTCCCACCCCCGAACCACTATAATTGCCTTGTGTCATTTACTGCTTTATTTACTTACTGCTTGTTACTCGCTTGTCACGTGGATATACTTGACACAATCACCACAAACACTTACTTTATTATTCCGTTGTGCACAAGACTCTAACAATCTAGTTAAGAGTCTTGGTTACTCTGTCGCCTTAGCAATTGTTGTATTTGCGAAAACGTTTAAAAGTCTATTCCCCCCCCCCCCCCCCTCTAGATTTTTACCCTACCTCTTTTGGGACCAACACTCAGTTTCATCCCCAACCGATCGGAGCAGCAGGACTCCAATTAGGATTCCCTTTCCTAGCGAGTTGCGACTTTGCGAGCAGCAGACGAGGACGCCGACGACTACTCCTCTCCCCTGCGACTTTGGGAGTAACCGACGATGACTCCTCTCCCCTATGACAGCCAACGAGAGTTCACTTCCAGAATTCTAGGTAGGTGCTTCTTAGCATTCGTGATTTATCATATTGGAGATGAAATATTCATGTTATTGATATTCATGCCCTCGATTTGAAAAAAGATTTCCTCTCTGTTTAAGACGATTTCCTATTTGCTATTCTGTGTTATTCATTAAATCTGATTTTTTGAATTTGAGTCTTTGAGCTGAGAAATTTGTATATTGATTTCTGTAGAATCTAATTGTTTGGTTTGGATTTTGTTTTCATAATATGCTTACATCTTTGATTGTTTTCATTTACCATGTTTATCTTTTCTCTTATCTGTCTGTTTTAGTTTGACTGATATATTTTCATTAGCTAAGCACTTTGTTCCCTAATGCAGCAAAGGTATGAAGTGCCACCCAATTTTAGAAGGTTATTGAGTTCAAAGATGAGAAGACTGTGCAGAGTTCTAAATGTTCGTCTGCAGGTAAGTTTACTTCACACATTTGGTTATAATTAGCCTTTGCCTGTGTTTGAATTATGTACCTCTGCCTGTGCTGTAGGCATGGTTGCAATAGGCGCTAGGCGCTAGTCGGGCGCCCGGACAGCGCCTAGGCGGTCTAGGCGGCGCTAGGCGGGCACCAAAAAAACAGTGGTAGACTTGCAGTTTGACAATTTTAATGAGGTTGTTTTCAACGTTTAATCAAATAACACATCCAAATAAATGAATTAATGATAATTCATAAGTCATAACATCAAAACAATGATTTTCAAAAAAAAAAAAACCATTAAAACAATATTAAAAATAAAAAATACTCAAATATGAAATACTCAAATACTTCAATCATCCAAAGATTCAAAGTATCAAACTAGTCTACGAGTATATATATGTAATATTATATATATATGTATGCGCGCGCACGCGCGCACACACACACACACACACACACACACACACACACACACACACACACACACACACATATATATATATATATATATATATATATATATATATATATATATATATATATATATATATATATATATATAATAAAAAAAATAGGCCGAGCCGATCGGGTTAACTTGACCGAAATGGACGAGTTAACTCGACTAACTTAGACGCTAGGCGGCCAAATCGGTCGAGTTAGGCGCTAGGCGGACGCCTAGGCGGCCGGTAACCTAGACGGGCGCCTAGAGGGGAAATTGCCACGGTCTAGAGGCGCCTAGCGCCTAGGCGGGCGCCTAGACCGATTTTTACAACCCTGGCTGTAGGCTGAACCAGAGACATATGAGGTGTATGCACAAATAACTTTGCTTCCTGAAATAGATGTAAGTTTTAATTCCTTTTAAAACTTTAAGCTTTTGTACTTGTGTGGGTTCACAAGATGCTGATTATTAGTTTATGAGATCAGTTAATTGTCATTACTATTGGAATTTTAATGTATATTTCTTTTGCAAAGCTAGGCAAAATACTTGTCTTAGATTGGAGTGAGCAGGGAAATTACCTGTCTACTTAAATTGAGAACATTAAAATTTGTGCGGGAGATTAGAATCTGCATGCAAGGAAGCTGATGGGGCTTTTAAGAAGGTCTAATATGGAGATTCAATTCTTTTGTGTTTCTTTTATATCCAGTGCCTCAATAATGCATGTCAAGTTTAGCAAAATGGTCATTGTGCTTTCCAACATTGGTCATTCTACATTGGAATATACATGTTTCTACATTGGAGGCTTCCCTTCAAATGCCTCTATGTTGTCCTGCTATTCTAGTTGTTACTTTTCATTTTTTTGGAAAGCTGTTACTTTTCATTTAGATCAGCATATATGAGCAAATCTTACTATAGTTATACTGACGTAAATACGTTGGGGGAGAAAGAATCGTTATGCAATCAAAATTGCTTTATATTACTTTTTGACCTAAACACTTCACACTTTTTTCTAAAAGTTCTAGATGTTATACTGTCCATAGAGTTTGATATTAACACATGATATCCTGATTATAGAGTCGAATATGATTTTATCTTCCCTAATGTCTTCTCCATTTTCTTGCATAGTCTAACTGAAGTATTTCTCAGACTTAGATTGAGTGGCTATCTTGAAAAGTTTCTTAAATTAGTATCTTCCGTAATGCCTTCTTCATTTTTATTGTCTTTGCTGAGTTGCAGGTTCCATATGACAGTATGACTCCTCTACAAGCTGCCCTTGGGGTGAGACAAGTTAGTAGCAACAAGTAAATTGAAAATAGCTCAAGTCTCGTATTGTTGGAGGCATACAATAGCTCAAGTCTCGTATGGTGGGCAAAATGTCTATTCAGGGAGGCATATATATATATATATATATATATATATATATATATATATATATATTTATTTATTTATTTATTTATTTATATTCATGGGCAAAATGTCTATATATATGTATAGTACATGTTTTAGGATAAGTATAAAAAATAGATAAAAGTTAATAAGAGATGGTTAGATTAGGTGATAAATCATGTGATTAGCTTTAAGAATGGCCAATGTTTGAATCCTGTCGTATGGTTTTATTCAACACACAATTTTTTAATGACTTATAAATATTAATTAATGGTGAGATTTACACATCTATATATAATAATAATAATAATAATAATAATAATAATAATAATAATAATAATAATAATAATAATAATAATAATAATAATAATAATAATAATAATAATAATAATAATAATAATAATAATGTGTTTTCTATTTCAATTATTTTATCAAATTAATTATGTTTCATATTTTGTTGTGAATATCTTTAAAAAATTTTGATGTGTTTTATTTTTCGCACATAACCAACAATATTTATGGTCATACTTTTAAGTGTTTTTTTTCCTTCAAACTATTTCTTTTGTTATATTTCGTCCCCATTGGTAAAAGTTTCTGGATCCGCCCCTGCTGGAGAGAGAGAAAACTAGCAGAAAAGGTACACGATACATCTCCATCCTTCTGGTAGCCATCTCTCCATCGTACAACCTATATAGTATCCTCAAAACTAGGGAAATAACTAAAATCCCACTAAGGTAATGAATGTCTGATTGTAAGAATGTTTTATCATTCTATTTTGTAAACTTTTCATCGTATAATTAATGAATTAGCTTTTTTATTTTTTTAAAAAAAAATACTTTTTAGGTAATTTTTATTTGAAAGGGTGATGTGGTTGCAATTAATGATGTATTTATTATTGAGAGAGCTAGGTTGGTAAAAGTATATTACATTATTATAAATTTATAGAGAGATATCTATAAAATATCCCCTATTTTTATAGATATTTGCAATTGATTGTTCATTTATTTAACTAGTATGATACCCGTGCGATGCACGGGATGAATATTGTTCATCACTTCATCTTATTGTGTGAAAAATTTTAAGAGATGATGTAATATATAAAAAGTTGGAACAGGAATATAAAATGGAAAATAGAAACAATAAAGAAATTACTTTAACATACAATAATATAGAAAAATAAGAGTGACAAAATTACAAATTATTGAAAACTTCGTGGTATACCACGTTGGTTGTTGATGTAATAGAGGAACTTGAGTTCTTAGCAATCAATATTTTAAGACCACCTGGGTTGTTAACTCGAGAAGCAGCCACGTACAACTGACCATGAACAAAAACTGGTTTTTTAAGTAACAATCCTACATGTGACAATGTTTGACCTTGACTTTTGTTAATAGTCATTGCATATGATAACATCAATGGGAATTTCTTCGTTGAAACTTGAATGGCAACCTGGTATCAGATGGTGACATTGACATTCTGGGGATCAACACTTTTGTTCCTTTGTTAGCACCATCTATTAACTCAGCTTCAATTACACGGTCTGCTAACTTGGTGATTACCTTTGTTTTGATGATAATACCTTTGTTTTGAAAGGAGAAATACATTTGTTTTGATGATAATGTTTCCTCTTTGACCCAATTGTGCATGAAGATGTAATCTTCCTCATGGTCTATAATCGCAATGCTTATCCTTTCTGTTTTGTGTTGGAAAATGTTGCACTAAAAATAAATAGAAACCAAATAAATCCTCACCCAATGAGGTATTTATAACTATGAATTTGTAGAAATGAATTACAAATGAATAATTTGCGTCCCAAATTATGTAATCAAGGATGCAAACCAAGGATCGATGATTTAATTTAATTATGAGATACTAAATACTAATATTAATAGCTATTGCATGACTCCCGTGCATAGTAACAGATGAATAATAATTGCCATGCATACTAAATACCATGAATTACACGTGCATAGTAATTATAGTAATAATAATTCGTTAAGGTTAATAGGATGCATGATTTCACGTTTCTTTATGTGAATAATTCGTTTTGTAATGCTAATTCGTTATTATAGTATTATTATTGTTATTATTATTATTATTATTAGTATTATTATTATTGTTGTTGTTGTTGTTGTTAATATTATAGTAAATAGTAATAGTAATTATAGTAATAATAATTGGCTAATAGGATGATTCCACGTTTCTGTGTTATTATTAAGGCTTATTTTATGTTTTGTATTAAAGATTGATTTAATTAAGGTTGATTTAATTTAAATAATTTAATTAAGGATGATTTAATTTAGTTAAGGATGATTATTTGTAATACTAAATATATAGTCTGATTTTTAATTTAAATGATTTAATTTAATTAAGGATGATTATTTGTAATTAAGGATGATTATTTGTAATACTAAATATATAGGCTGATTTAATTTAAATGATTTAATTAAGGATGATTTGCCAAGACCTTGTGGTGTAATGGCACCCGGGTTGGATTCCCATATGAGAGGTTGTGAGTTTGAGTCTTAGTAGAGGTGTTATTGGCTCTTTGTGTTTTAATAGGTTGAGAAAGTAGTTATGGACAGATACTACATTGTAATAGAGTTGCGTTCAAAAAAAATTAAAATTAAGGATGATCATTTGTTTGTAATACTAAATATATAGAGTGATTTAATTTAATTGAAATACTATAATAATTGCTATTGCTATAATAGTAACATTTATAAATTGACTAATTCGTTATTATTATTATTATTATTATTATTATTATTATTATTATTATTATTATTATTATTATTATTATTATTATTATTATTATTATTATTATTATTATTATTATTATTATTATTATAGTATTCAACTGTAATTTTTGTTCGGTAGATGATCTAAGTTTAACGAACTAAATTTGAAAATATTCCAAGCTACCGTACCTAATAATAATTATTACATATTTTGTTTAATTTTGCAATCAAATTAGAGATATAATGCAATCATTATTTTGTTTAATAATTATTACTTTCTATGTAACTAAAATGAAACTGCAAGTTTTCAAAAAATAATAATAATAATAATAAATGAAATTATAAAATTACACAGAAACATATAATGCATAATTAGAATGAAATTTAAAAAGCCATTTTATTTGTATAGTCAGAAATTGAAAACAAAATGTTGACACATAGTAGCAGATTCAAAAGTCTGTTTGAAAACAAAATATAAGCAATACTGAAAATGAAATTACAATGAAATTAAAGAAGTAGGATGCATTGGTTATACTATTTGTAATCAAAGCTTCTCTTCTTTCACAACCGCCTTAATCTTCTTTCCCACAACATTAGTAGAATACTGATCATTCAAAGAATGTTTCACTGAACGCTTGAGTGGTTCAACTTCATCAGCATCAATTTCACCGTCATACTTGGATTTTTTCTTTACAGGTGTAGTGACCTCATCTCCAGAAGACAAATCCTTGAAAACAATATTAACAAACACAAATTAAATATGATTCAAATTAAACAAATAAACATAAATTGATAAATATAGTGATTACTAAATTAATCATGGGGGAATATTACATTTATGTGGTTGTCTTGCATGTTGTGTAATTTTGAACAAATATCCAATTCATGTGTAATTAATTATGATTGAAATTCTCAATGTGTATTTTTTTTTTTAAAAAAAAAAAGTAAAATTGGAGTTTCAAATATGTAAATAATTAAATGTTATAAATAACCTGATTCTCTCGCATCAAAGACTCGCGGACCTTTGAGATCAGTGTTGCATCACAGTTGAGTTTCATTACTGTGAAAGGGCCACGATAATTATGCCGCTGGTCAGATTTCACTTGCACTTTAAATAGGACTTCCTTATTGTTGAATGTTGACTCGTACATTCGGATTAGACGAACTTGTATCGCCCAATTCGTGGAGGTAGCGGTGATTTGGTTAAGTAGATTGAAGGTGTAAGCCATATTGAAAAGTTGAAAAGTTTAGCGTATGAAAAGAATAGGAAGAGGATTGCAA